ATGAGAGCTGAAGATGTTCCGCCTACCCTAAACGGACTCTCAGGGATATCCTCTACGAATGGATTGTTCTGATTCTGATGCTCTGGAGAAACTTAAAGCGCTTGAAACTTGTCACCATGTTCTGGACCTGCCTGGATCACCTGAAACCCTTGTCACCTGTCGTCGTGATAGAAGACCTGTCACGGTAGCAGCACCGTGTTTGGCAAGGAATTCAGGCAACAGTAGGAATCGTGAGGCAAGCACCAACCTGCAAAAGCCTTTCAAAGGAAAGCCAGAGCGCTTGACTGCAGGACGTTGATTAGAAACGTGCCACCGCGCGGCGGTCTTGCGGAAACACAGAAGCCGCAGGCACAAGAAACAGGACTAGCCAAACGCAAGACCAGTGACCGTGCCATCCAGGCCTGTACACTCGCACCCAAGAATCCAGAACCAACATTATTGAACGTCGTCTCACACGGTGGTTCTGCCAAGCTGTGCCTTGCGCAGGGATCCGCCAACCTTTCCGCATGGCGCGTTCGCATCTTCATTTGGCAATCCTGCTATTAATCTAAGCGGACTCAACTCCGTCCATGTCGAAACAATATTTGTTGCGCTTTTCCTTCAACTTGCGCCGCACAGCTGAGACCGGCATGCCTGCATCTGCCATTGAATTGTCTTTCCACGCGCCTCTCACAATGGGTCAGGTCTCTACCGAAGCGCCAAGAAAACGCCAGCTTTCCCCATATTTCGGCCCCGAAGAAGCGGTGGGTTGATTCACCTTCCTAAATGCCAGACGCTGCTAGGGTTGAGTTGAGGATGAGCCGTCACTGCAGGCGGAACAGCAATCACAGCCCACAGTAGTTGACTCGGAGGGCTGTCGGCAGCGATCTCAATCTCCAAAATCTCGTTGCAAAGAGGCTTATGACACAGGTCCTGCTGCGCCATCAGAGATCCCCGCTCCCTCCTGCGACGACGTCCTCCTCAAACATCATCAGGGATGGCGCCTTGAAGACGTCGGTGGACCTGGACACCGCAGGTTTGGGTCCATTGCCACAGCTATTGCTGTCTCCTAAAACACGAATGCCAGGGGTGGGGAGGGCAAGCACTATCTCATGATCGTCAGCTGGTGGGGTTTCTGTAAGGTCTTCAGGTTCGTGACGCAGGCCTTCTGGGTCTGTCACTTTCTGGGTCGTTGGACAGCAGCCTCCTCAGGGCAGGGTCCAGGAAGACTGCCACCTGAACTGTAGGTCTTCTTGCAATTCTCTGGGCTGCCCAAGACATGGCAACTAGCCAGTCAGCTTGAAGCAAGAATAGCTGCAGCAACAGAACTTACAAAACACATTGTTGCACAAGATGGCAGGGTCATGACAACACAGGGAGGCTTCACGTGTGTGGCATATCTCGTCTTGGTTCCTCTCTAACTCTTTGTTTCTCTCTGCCATCTTACAACCCCTTCTGGATCCACTGACCAGCAGCAGCAGCAGCAAAACCCACCCTTGCGCCGGTGTTCAGGTGTCCTCACCTTAGCAGAGGAAGCTCGCCATCTTGCTCACCTTGGGTGTGAAATTGAAGTCTTTCTTCATCATGCGCGTAAAAATGAGATCGACGTCTGGAAACGTAAGTGCAAAGACTTGCGGTTCGCGGCTACGCGCGGTCGCCCTCAGACTGGTCCTCCCGGTCGGCTGTTTAACCATCGGGCCATGAATCCTGATGATCACAAGTCGGGCCATCTCTCATGCATGGCTACCTCGGTGGACATCTTCGCCTGATGTTGACGCCCGCCGTCTTCAAGGCCGTCACTTTGCTCAGGTGCTTCGTCGGGTTCCTAGGTTGTTTTCCACCCTTGGTCTTTTGAGGAAATTCTACAGCATTGTAATACCTGAGCTCAAGGGCCAGATGGCTGGGGCCTACGAACTCATCAAAATGCTTGGTAAGATCCAACTCTGCCAGCTGGGTAAGCTTCTGGATTCACTGGACCGGGGAGTTCCCATGCCGGACTCATGGACTCATGCTCGGCTTACCTGTACTCCTTAGGCAGATACGCCGGACGCTACTCGCCCTATCACCACATGTGCCGTGGTGCGTCGTATCGGCCTCAAGATGGGCTGCAAAGATGAGCCAGAGCTGCTTTGATTCTAGCTGGTAGGCAAGCCCCCAAGCTAGTCAAGTTGTCGGAGAGCTTGCGGCACGCCTCTCGGACGCTCATGTTCGTCAAACTTCAACGGCGGCTGCGCTTTGGGACACCGAGACGTGTTTCGATTCGGTGGAGCTGGCCTCGTTGCGTGAACTTCTTCTGGCTTTGGAGACTCCCAGGGACCTAGTTCTGGTGTCGAGCACGTGGGGAAATCTTGAAAGGCATGTGTGGTTTCAAGGTTTACTCACTGGCACTTCCATCCGTTCGGTGGGCCTCGTGGCACACCACCGGGAGACCCTTTGGCTCCATGGTCCCTGAATTTGATTGCGAATACCTGGCTGCAATGACTGCGGCACAGACCGCAGTTTGTTGAAGTGTATTTTGACCACCGGGCTATTTAGGCTCCACTGCGGCGCACCTGTCATCCGTTCTCAGACACACGCATGTTTTCGACCATGCTTTCGGTGTCCACGTCAATCATAACAACTCTGTCAGTATGCAGGTGGGTCGGCCGTGAGCACGCGCCGATGAGGACTGGCTTCAGTTGCCACTCAAAATGTGCGTCAAATACCTTGGCACGCAGCTAGAGTTGGGAACTCGGATTGCCATGTACATACAGAGAGACCGGGCTTGCAAGGTTTGTTCCAATCTTGAGTACGCACGCCTCATTCCACACCTTGCTCTCCGAAAAACCCGCGAGATGGCGTACTGTCAAAGCTTGTACGCTGACGCCAGTGTCATCACCAGAAAAAGTATGGCTCAGTTTTCACCGCCATGACACAAGCATGTTGGGGTCCTAGTCTTGCGGTTGAGAATCGCCTGTGCAGTGTTGCGGTTACTGCGCGTCTCAGGGGTCCTCTTCATTGTTCTGCTCCTGATGTTGTTCAATCGTATCACAATGCTGTCACCCTCACCAGCCTTCTTCGTTCGAGCGCGTCAGTTGTTCAAAACCTTTGGAATCATCGGTATACCCCCGTGGAGACAGCAGATCTGCTTTGCCAAGAAATGGGTTCGCCTTCTCGAATTTGTTCGGCGGGACGTGGTGCCGACGTGACATCGTGGTCAACGATGCTGGTGATAGGGTCTTCCAGCCCAGATCTTGCTACAAAAAAGGTCTGGGCGCCCGGTCTAGACATAACTTTCAAGATGCCCTGCGGTTGGTGATGGACCAAGCCCCGTTGCTGTCCTGCTTTGCTGGGGATGAAGGGGGGTTGACTGTGAAATGACTTTGCGGCCAGTGATCGTGATCGCACTAAACGATCTGATGAGTTTGGCAATGATGGCGTTGGGGGTGGGCGCTATCGTCGCATACTCGCTAGCGTGCTGTGGTCTGGGAATAAACACCTCGACGTAACACGGCGTGTCAGTCACGCCCAAGAAGCTCTTTTCTTGGTTCATGTGAGCCATAATCTAAAGTCCCAGTAACCCACTTAATAATCCCTATAAGACTCCGCTATAAGCCCCTGTACATCCCCCTTTAAGGAGTTTAGATTATAGCTCATGTCATCGTGAGCGACTGCAATCCAAGCAGATCGTCTGTTTTAAGCAGGCTGGAATCAAAAAAACAATTTCCTCTGTCAGCTTTCTTGCAACGCCTGTCCATGCATTTATACCTTTTCAAGAATTGAGGTTGATGCCGTGCACGCTTGGGAAGAGAACGATGAGCAGATCTGCTTTCGCGTTGGGAGCATGGGTCCATCCCACTGCTCAGATTTGATCTAGCTTTTGCTATCGGTTACAATCTGTCTTATACCTTTGTTTGGTCTCAACCTATGTGCAGATTTGGCTGCCACACGCCCTCCAGGGCTTTATACTGAACCAAGACACTGCATTTGTGCATCATACTGTACCATCTTCGCAAGTACAATCCACGCAGGTGTGCGCTCACGCCATCATGCAAGGAGCAGCTCATGTTCAAATGTGGTGCCCTGTTCGTCAGGCACCAACACGGAGGCGCAATCCGCAATTTGCGCCGCCCACGGACATGCGTCACAACCCTTCAGCGCATGCACATGAAGATTGTGTGCTCGCCGCGCGCAAAGACAAATTTCAAGAAATAACGCCGTCTTAGAGCGTCAAACCTGGGCGGATCGGAGATCAAATGTAAAAGCCGGTAAAGCCAGTAGCACGTGCCCTCAGGAGATTTCAATATGGGGATCCTTCTGGCTTAGACACACTAGACATTCAAGTTTGGCACGCCTTCCAGTTGCCACGTTTTTTCGCAAGCGCTGAAGTCTCCAAAAAAATGCGCTCAGCCCACCTCCGTGCCCTACACGCCCTGCATAGCTTGCCAGCTGCAAACGATGCCCGCTTCCACACATCGGCATCCCGACACACGGCACGAGCAATCTATACAATATCGCACAATACGACTTTTCTCTTAGCGCGGCCAGGCATTATCCAGCAGAAGCTGCAGCTAGCAGGCGCAGCAGGCAATTGTGGCAGCAATAGCTTTGTTCGTATGGTGGATGCTTTTGATCACTGAGCTGGCCTGATCGCTGGGCTGAAGGCAAACTCTGCTTCACCTCCGCACCTTGCCATACGATGAAGGGACTTTCTTTGCTGACCATGTTTGACAGACATGTCAAATGCTGAGTGGCGAACACGATGGCCCATCCTGAGGAGTCGCTTGAAGCTCCAGCATCCTTTAAGCCGTGACATGCTTCAACAGCGACACACCTACCACACTCAAAAAAATGAAAGCTATGGACTTTCTTTGCTGCCCTGAAACCCTCACGGCGATTAATGGCGACGAGCCTCATGCCCAGGCTCCAGAGCTAGGACTCTGTTTGCGTTGGTTTTGCACAAAATTGTCCACAGGTTGATTTGAATTGCATTTGTTATTCACTAAAAACTCACTAGTGCTGCTTGGGGAAGCCTTCACACATATCAGGATGGGCTTTCTCACGAATCTGCGACGGTGGCGAGAATCTGCCTCGGTGGCCGAGACTTCGCGGATGCTTTACGTTTGTTGCGGTGACTGCCGCAGAGTGGCAGCTGAAGCAGCAGAGGCAAGAACAGCATGAACACCAACACCACTCACCATCGTCGCCCCCCAACCCCCTACCACGAGCAATATGACAACAACAAGAACACGTCTGACACAGCCTCTACTGGCAAAAAGAACGAGGACAGCCATGACAATGACATCAGCAGCGATTAGATCGCTACTCCAACATGCCCTGCAATTTGATGCTGAACATTAGCGTGGAATGTCTGCTACAAGGCGGTCGGTCCTCCTCGCCACTGTTTTTGCGGTGCTTGCGACGCCTGGCCGACAAGTTAAGAGTGTCAGTTGACGAGTGCATTGATACTGCACAAGTCCCGTCATACTGCATTTGAAGCGAGCTTCTCGTTCCGCTTGGCACTTTTACTCGCACCTTAGAGATGCTCCGGTGTAAACGGTGCAGACACTCACTCATGCCAGTGATTTCTGCATGGAAGGCCTGGTCTGGCACAAAACACCCTCGCAAAGTCCATTTCCCCTCAAAGCACCCTACTCGCAGAATATTATAAAGCACTGTCAGCTCCGTTTGATCTGCCATCGGCATTTGCTCATGCAGAGTTTGCAAGACCCTCGGTCCTAGCGTATCGCTGTGCCTCTTTGGCTCACGGGATGATGCAATTTGAAAAAGAAACTGAGAAGCTGACCATCTCCTTGTGGGGCCAAAGGCACCTCCAAGCTTAGCAGGTGCAGAAGCTCGCTCGCCTTCCTGCAACAGGTTTCAACTCTGGCTCCTCCCATCTCAGACCTACATTTGGCAGCTGCACACATGCAGCACGTTGCAGAACTCACTTCAGGTTGCTTTTTTGTGCATGGAGCAGCCTGATGCATCCCCGCCCTCCAAGACCCCGCAAAGATTGCTTCTTGTCGCGCGTAAGCTTTAAGAACAAGAAGATGTGACGCTGCCGCATGATGATGCACACGCACTCCGTCGACTGCGTTGAGATTACAACATGTGACTACCTTTGGCAGAGAACGAGACAGCAGCGTCACCATGTTTACTGCAAGCATTGTTTGTTCACGCTTCAAGTAGTTCAAGCGGAACGCTAGAGAAAGGCTTGCGCTCAATACTGCTCTGTGGCGACTGGTTAGGTAATCAACAAGTGTGCGCCTATGCCCAGAAACTAGCAGCCAAAGCAGCCTGCCACGCACAAGCAACAAGTTGAGACCTTGAGGAAATGTTCTAAAGGTGGCAGATAGTTCGAATCAAAAGATGGTGTGATTCCCGTTGCGAATCACTGTGAAACCGAACAGCCTTCTTGCCCCGGAAGTCAGAACCAGCGCACAAAGAGATTGGGGTCCTGGTATCTGAAATTCCGGCGAGGCGGTGAAGATGTGCTCAAGCACAGCAAGAGTGCGGAAGACATCACAAGTATTGCACTCAGTGCCAGAATTGCTTCGGGTTCGGGAGACTCCAAAAGTTTGAATGCAGATCTGGTGAAGGGGGTCATTCTTCAGATTTGAAAAATCTCTGGCACTGCGGCATCTCTGTACGGAGGCTGCGCGCCGAGGTGCCATGCGGTAACGCAGGCAGCGTTTGCTAGCCCAAAATCATCACGGCATGGCCGTGCTGAAGACTGCTTGGGCGCAGCTGGAAATGGAACCACGGATTACATGTTTCAGATTGTGCGGCGGGCTTGGGGTGACTTCCAAGGGAGTCCAGCGAGCACCAGAGGCCGCGGATGCAGCAGAGGCAGTCGAGGCATCCCAGCCTTAGGTCAGGAAATCTAGAAAGCCTTGGGGGATAGCTTGTCAGTCTCTTGGGAAGTCACCAGGACGGCACGGCTTGAAGACGAGGCCCGTGAAAAAGAAGGCAAAAAGAAGTGGGAGAGCTGCCCGCGGCCAGGCGCGGCGCGGCTTTCGTGGCGAAGGCCACCCAGAGAGCTCTTTTGAAAGAGACCTTAAAACTATATCCAAACTGCTCCTGCCACTGCATTCGTTCCAGCCGAGCTTGCAGCACTCCAAACCAACCGCCAGGCTTCCGGCCGCAGGCATCCTGGCTCGAAAATGCTTTCAAAATTAGCTTCTGACGGACATGGCACAGTCCAACCTCGTCCGGACGCTCATCCGGATCGTCCTTGCCGGTCAGCCACGGGTGCTGCTGGACTTCATGGACACTGGGCCGCTTGGCCTCTGCCTTCCATCAAAATTGACAAAGGCAGGAAAGGGAAAGTGGAGCTCTGGCAGGTAACTAATGAATCTAATGATGTTTCACACGTTGGGCTCTGCACTTGGATCACCCAACTGGCCCATTGCCAGGTCCGGTACAATGAATGAGCCACAGCAAAGTTGAGTCACAATTCAGGACAATGGGACAGTGGCCGTGACCAAAACAAACTCAAAAAAGCCACGCCCGAGATCCGATCACCTTCTTGTCCTGCTTGGGATGAGCACCGCCCGTTCATGTCGCAAAGTCTCAACGCAAAAGGAATCGCGACTTTCTGACGGAATGACATTCTTTGTTGAGTCTATTCCTCCCAGGTCAGACCATGTATTGCGATATTGACTGAACCTGGATAAAGCCTGCGTGAAGCCTGCAAAGGCGGTGGACGCTTGGCCAGTGTGAATCGGGCACGTGACGCTTTGCTTATGTCAAGGAGCTTGTATGCTTGCAAACCTATCGTCAGAGCTGGAGAAGACTGTGCACCTTGCTCAGCATTGCGTGGATCAATCTGTTGCCTCGATGTAGTTTCTACAGACATGTACTGGCTCATGTAAAGATGCTCAGCTGAAACTTATCCTATCGTCCCAGGGGCATGATTGACTGATCCGACGTAGGCGGAAAGTCTTCGTACGAACCTCATGCTCGTCCACGAACGGGAAGGTGTTGCTGGCCTGAGTTCATCTGCACCGCCTCACTCAACAAGAATTTGTGCTGCAGCTTTGTAGTCAACAGGCTCAGGTTTGTTGTCAGCAAGTTGCCATGCAGTGCAGGCATATGCCCAGGGCCCAGATGTCCACTTTCAGACCATAATTTTGGTCCTCGAGAGGGAGTTCAAAAAAGATGTAAAGTCTCAACGAAGGCACATGAGCACAAGCCACAGTCATACATCTCGGGAGACCAATAAGCGGTAGTTCCAACCTGCCGTGCCGGTCAACACAGCTTCACTTTGACAGCTGGCAACCATTAACCCTGCCTGTTCGGACAAGCGCTGATTGTCCGTGAGCCTGCAGGCTGACCCAAGGTCGGCCAGGACCACCCTGCAGGAAGAATCCTCAGAGGCAAAGTGTGCCTGTTCATCCTGTTGTTCCTGTGCCAGTTGCCTTCGACTTCTCTCTGCGTCCAAGCGTCAGTGAGCTGCTCACGGTCTATCAAGAAATTCTCTGGCTTTACATCGCCTTGAATGTTGAACGCTTCCGTATGTATTGGCAAGTGCATTGCTTGAGCTTCTGCAACCAGGATACTGCCTGCATGTCTTAAAGCTGCTTGTCAAGTCACGATGGACAATCGCAAGAGTGTGCAAGTACTGTACAGCAGCCACCATCTGCTGGATTATATGCAGCAAGCCATTCATGTCGGACCTCACATGCCACCACCGTTCAGCAACTCTGCAGGAAGCATGGAAGCAACAGAAAGCTCATGCAAAAGCTCAAGCAGCTTCTCTCTTTGGGGCCCGACTCTCTTCCCAGCTTCTCCCTTGTCGCGTATGCTTACGAGGATAGCTTTCCATATAAAGGCAAGCACACACTAGCACACAGCCAGCCTCATAACATAGCTCTGAAGTCCTACCACACTGAGCATGCTTCTTCTAGCAGTCCACCACGCCCGGGACACAATACCACACAGGATGTGCCCAAGACTGCACAAGTAGGCCTACTGCATTGCAAACAACAGGCAGAGCATCAGATATCGGTCCATCAAGTAGATCTTGATGCATTTGGTCCATGACGAAGGACACTGATGTGCCGTTGTCAAAAACGTCATGAATCCTCACGATCGAGCCTTTGCAGTCGAGGTCTTGGCCAGGTGATCCACAAACAGCACGATGACAATTCAGGCAAGGGACTGTGACACATGCTACGCAGCAGCAAGGCTTCTTCGCGAGTTTCGTTTGCTGCCCCAGGACGATCCGAAGACACCTGTCAAGAGAAGATCAACTCAGACACCGTGCATTTCTGCCACTCCAACCGTCTCTTGTACTTGGCCACAGTATGTGATGAGAAGCTGCCTTTCATCAACAAGTCGCTTCTGGGCAAGGAAAACCGTTTTGGCCGTACGCGGATCACGGTTTCAAAAACGTTGTTGACAAATCACTTGCGCAAAGGATTGCCACTTAAGGCTGAAGCCCATTGCTTACAGCTGCAGACCTCCCCACGGATAAGATTTACGCAGGGTGCCCTTACAAGCTGGAAAGATTTCTCCACGATATTTGACTGAGGTACGAGGGCCGTCAGACACAGATTAAATCCTTTAAATCAGCTGCACATACTTTGCGTGGAGTGGCATATTTACATACTGTATATATAGAATCTTCTCCAGCATGATTGCAAGTCAGATGGGATTGTTGTACTTGGGCGCCACATGATATGGTCAGGTTGTCAGTAACCTTAACCACAGTTGAGCAGATTCTTTTAGGAGACCTCCGAATGCAGTATTTTGAGTACTGTAAGGGCCTATTTGCAAATTGAGTCAGACCGACCTTATAATTCAGAGGGTGGAATTCACATGCCTTGAATGCAGTGATCAATCCTTGCAAGGAGGCTCCACAACAATCCCCCATGCTGCAAGCAAGGTTTCCGAAAGGACAAAGCAACTTCTACGGCACAAGCAGAAGCAGAAGCAGGCTTCATCCGTGGCTTGAAAAGCATGAAGATTAGCTGAAATGCAATGGCCGGTCTAGGGTTGGCACTGGCAAAGCTGATGCACCAACCCCCAAAACACACACCCGTCGTGACAGCCCTCGAAGAAACAAGGCAAACGCCTTGGCAGCGAAAGCTTCGCCCTCGTTACTCTGACTGCGCGGTCTGCAGGCATAGACAAAGCCACTGAAACCTCCAGGGCGAGTCACCTACGAAAAAACTACTCGAACAGGGGTACTGGATCAAAAACCCAGAAGCCCATCAAATCAAAACAAAAAGGCAATCAACAACCAACAATACATCAACAGTCACCAAACAATGGAAAATGGTGCATACCATTGATGAAAGCAAGGAAAATTGATGAAAATTAGTGAAAAATTGATGAAAAGTTCTGGCACATGGTGAAAAGTGTTGGAAAATGATAAATCATGATGGAAATGGCGCAATTGATGGACATGAAAACTGTAAAGAAGAAAACGAAATGATAAACATCTAAGAAACCTGATGAAAATAATGCAAAGGATGACACGTAGGAAAAATAATGAATGTGATGAAAATGAAAGGATGCGAGGGATGAAAATGAAAAACAAAACCGATGAACAGCCATGAAATATCAATTCTTAAAATTGTGAAAAACATGAAAAATATGGCGACTGGTGAAAACTGATGAAAACCATCAAAAATCAGTGAACTGCTGAAGCACTATGGAAAATCATGAAGCATGATGAATAATTACAGAAAATAATGAAGAACTAGGAAATGATGAATCTAAGACCTCGAACAATGGCAAACATTGATAGCCTAAACAAGCTGGATGGTTGAGGGGCGCCCCCCTGTTTACAAATAAAATGATGCGCAAACCCCTCCCTGAATGCAACCGCAGCCTTGACGTGACATGATGAATGAAGAAAGATGATGAACATAATCTTTTTTAACCGCCGCAAAGAGGGTCTTGCGTTGCGCCCATTCGTCCTCATTTTGGGGAAAGGAAAGAGCTTTGCTCCTTCTTGCAGCCCCGGCCCACAGGCCCCATAAGCGAGGTGCAAAATAAGGTCGTATTGACTGTATCCTGGATGAGTCATCTCGACACTGCATACTTCATGAGCTCCTAACTGCATATATGATGTTAGCATTACTGAGGGCTATCGCTACATTTTTTGCCTTGAGCTTCAGCGCCTTCCTGACGTCCTCTGTACGGTACGTTATGCACTCATCTTCAAGAAGGACTGCGCGGTAATGACCCGGAAGAATGCTGTCCCCCATGTGATAGGTAAATGGCCACAACCCTAAATAATAAGTGTTCAACGTGTATGCCTGGCCCACTGAAGGAGGGGAGTGCGAAGTGCCAGTCTGGACTTATTTTACCCGAACGTGTTTGACCCATGTCTGTGAACCTTGCTATCTGCAGGGCAATCAAAGGAAGCATGTCCTTCACAGCATGACTCTGTGCCAGGGAGCTCCAGGTGTCAAGCAATTGTTGCCATGTGCTTTCATCTGCTGGGCAGAGAGCTGCTGACAGCAGCATTGGCCACGCATGTCGACGATCCAAAACCTGCGCAAATACTCCACGGCATCACGCCTGCATGGGCTGAGCCACGTGCTTGCCATGCTTTCCATTGCAGCGTACGCCAAAGGGTGACTGGCTTGGACTGAAAAGCTAACCATCCCATGAAGCGCATCAGCGAGGAATCCGCCAAGCGCGAACACTGATGCGCGTCGAGCTGATGGATACTCCGCATAATTGCTAGGACACTGGAATTGGCATAGCAATGTCTACGGGGATTTCTTAAGAGGCAATCCAACGTGTTGGCTAGCAGGCTCCTCTCTAGCTTGGCCGGTCGCAAGGTGGCTGCTATCAGGCGCGCGCAAGCATTGCGTCTCAATCTTCCCAAAAAAAAATGGAGCCCCTTGCGAGCGATTCTGGACCTCTAGGGCCAAGGGCGCGACCTTGGACGTCATGCCCTGGGACAATTTTTCTGGAAGCATGGAATTTGGAGATCACACGGAGATGCAAAGTCAGCACTTTCAACGTCGTCAGAATTTCCACGACCTCTGTGCGCTGGGCGGCCTCCTGCGCGGCCTTCTCGTACTTCTTCTGGCCCTGGCTCCAACGCAAGTACGGGAACGCCCGACCCATCTTCTCTGCCTTGAGACTGGGGTCCGTCTCCAGCTCCTTGACCCTCCCTAGCAAGGCATCCCATGATCCCAAGAGAACCGTTCTCAGAGACTGTTTCATGCTGGATGGATCCTTTTCCTTGCGCTTGCTCCAGTGCTTGCCAGCAGGAAAGGCGATGGGACAATGCTCCAATCCTCAGCTGCTGGCTTTGCCGGGCTGCGGTTGCGAAGGAACATAACGAGCTGGGTATCCTGTGAGAGGATGGGTCCGCTGTCCTCTTGTCTTGTCGAATGAGGAGTCTTCCCATCACTCAAATTATTACGCCCTTTAAATCTTCGGAAGACTGAGAGTTGCGACTGTCGTTCCACCACTGAGCACTTTGCTGCCGCTGGCGAGGTTGCCGGTCCGTCCGCTGGCACGCGCGGGTCTTGGGATGTTCCTGGCTCGCTCCCGATCCGATTGGTCCAAAGAACCCCGAAAAAGTGCTCAGCTCCTGCACTGCCCTTTTCAACTCGCCGTCTCCGATCTGCGTGGTCATGGCTAAGAGTTGTCTGAAATGGCAAGGTAATTTGACCCATGGTCGAGCATATGACCACATGCCCACAGCACCGCACATGCGTCGCAGTGAGCTTCTGCTTGTGCTTTAAACTGAGAGTCGCACCAACTGCAAGGGTTGGGCAGAATCTGGCAGTTTCCGAGCCCACTCAATATTAACGCGTGGGTTGGCTTCACGAATGTTGGTGCGCTGCTTGGTGGCGCGCCGGGTAATGGACATGGGAGCGCTGCATCTGACACCGCACTCTGGGCAGCGGCATGGTCTGTTGAGTTCACGCAGGAGCTTCGCAAGAGGTTTGACTTCCCCTTTTCCGGCAAATGGCTATTGTATCCTCTCTGTGAAAGGCTGGCGTAGGCTCATCAGACGCTGAACCGCTGAAACTTCTGCCCCCGACACGGGCATCGCGTGAGCAGGACAGATATTTTCAGCTGTTGGCTCTGCCTGTGTAGCAGTAAACATGATTAATGTAATCAGGTCGGCTGGGGCTTGGGTGCGCTCTAGCGATTTCAGGAGAAGCCGTCTCGGCATTTTGTCAAACACTTTAGCAAAAACTAGAGAAAGGCGCATGCCTCCGGCAAATGTTTCTCTAACTTGGGACCTGAGTGGGTTGTACCTCTGATCCGCCATTCGCTTCCGAATCTGGACACAGTGCGCTGCAACCCGGTCTATTGACTCCGATGTCCGTTGGCGGGACAAGTAGCCAGATTGTGGCACTTGCTGCAGCTTCCTCCAAAAAAGGACAAACCTATCTGCCGCTATTTGGGATGGCAGGAAGCAGATCGGCCTGAAATTCGCAGGAGTGTCTGGTGGCCTGCCTGGCTTAGGGAGAAGTACTGCGTGAGATTCATGCCAGGAATATGGAAAGAGAAAAGGTTGCCTGGCTGAAATCTGACAAATCGTGTGTTATGGTCTCGCTGCCTGCTTGCCAAAGCTTGGCCGGCGCCTGCCCTGCTCTTCAGGCACCAAGCCGTCTTCTGCGCCTGAGAGGACAAGTTGGAAATATGAGCACACAGTGTCCAGTTCAGCCTCGTCTGACTGTAGCCTGCCTCCTGGACCTTTCATATGAATGGTCTACCTTTTGCTTTCGTCGCTCCCGAGTTCGTTTGCGTAGCGCACAGCTGTGCGATTGAAAGGTAGCTACCACTTTACATCTGCTGATTAAGACCTGAAGGAATCCGCAACTGCTGGGAAAGATCCCTTGATTGAAGGCTAGGCCGTCCACCGGCTCTGTCAGGCAAAATGCATAATGGAAATGGCTCTTCTGCGAGCCCTGCAGCCCATGTTTTGATTGCCAATAGGTCATAGGTTTTGAGATCTATGGCTAGCATAGGCTGCTCACAGATGGGGAGTTTTGGAGCGCCGGGCGTTGACATCAGTCCCACACACCAAAAAGACGCTGATCCAGCTCCTCCGCCAGACACTACAAGTCTGCAATTTCACTGCAGAAGGCTTGAAGCACGGCCGGCTGCGGCGCTACTTGCTTAGCTACTTTGGGAATTGATGGCCAAAGTAGGCTGCATTGAACTGGCACACGCCTACAACCCG